GGTTAACTCATAGTGTAATTTCTGATAGGGTACACCGTCTGCTCGTCACGCTATCTTATTTTCGGCCGGATAGATTCGTGCAACTTCTTAGTCTAATACCGATCCTAATCTTACTCTTATACTTTCTAGTCTCAGGGTGTTTAACTAGTCTCTGCTAGGCTCAATAGATCTAGGGTATACTGGTTTATTGCGGCTGCTGAAGTTCTCTTGGAGAGGCAACTAATTTCTAAGTTAAATTCAAATCTCTCTGGTGCTGAAATTACGAGTAATTTCAGCACTTACAAATAAGTGGGTTGTTAGTTAGATGGATTATGATTGGTTAATATTAAATACTTTACAGTGGTAAAATATCCAATTTATCCAATCATAAAATGTAGTTTAGATCAGGTTCCATTATCTACTGTAATTACGTTTTTTTTTCTCGTAATTTGCGTTGAACGCCGAGAAGAAAGCTTCAGGATCAATTTCTATTTGAAGAAGTTCTGAACCATACAAAAAGTTTTTCAAATTGTGCTATTGCCCACAAAACCCTTAAAAGTTCTAAGTCTTTGTAGAATGCTTCATTTATTGAGTTTCAAAAAATGGTGAGCAAATTTTTTAATCACTTCGCCGACAGCGTTTCTTTTTTCATTTGTAGAGACTACTTGTTCGGTACTAGTGAGCATAGGGTTGATGTTTTTGGTACAAAGATTCTATTTTGATTTGCTGAGCCAAAAACAGAGCGTAATTCTGGGCGTTTTTTTTTGGTTGAATAAGTTCTTGATCGAATCTGCTTTTCCAACCAATGATGTTGCACCTTTTTTGAGATCTGATAAATCCCAGCCGTTCAGAAAGTTTTATGAGAAGTAGCTTTTTTCTTTTTTATATATACGTTTTTTGAATAAATAAAAATACTCAAAAAATGTTCAATGTTCACTCTATCAATCACTATTAGAAAACGAGTTCGTGATTCACCGGAGAGCATTTGGCGTGTCTCCTAAGCAAAAAGTAGTCAAAAAACGGTCTGTAATTTTTACTTTCACCTACCACTTTACTGAAGTTTTATTGTTTGCTTGTATTCACAAAGTTTTAGTTGGCTATATGCGTTTGTCAAGTGAAGACTACTGAATCAAATATTATATGTATTTTCGTAATCTGATACTTTAATTAAATATCTGATCAATTAACAGTTTTGAATCTAATGCTGGTTTAAAGGAACGGCATTTGTTCTCGTATTTACAATCAGTTTTATGAAGCAAATTTTGTCGCATTTGTCTGATTTAGGAAAAAATCTATTTTGTTCTAACATTTTCAGGTCAATTTTTACACCTTCTTTTGTATAAGCTTAAAGAGGGTGTGGATTTGGGTGTTTTTTTTTTGATGGGAGGATTTTTCCAATTGTGGTGAAGTGAAAAAGTTGTTTTTGTTGGATGAAGCCATTGCTTCCGGGCTTTTCTGGTTCACAACTTCGGTAATTTGTCGTTACGCAGAAATTTTTGTTGCTAGACGAGAAGTAATAAAGAATGGAGTTTCCTCACAACTCTCCATCCCTTGGAAAGAACGCTAACAACAGTTTTCCCAAGGAGACGATGATGTCTTTGATAAAAAAAGCCAAAATAGCGAGTCTTCATTTTTACTGTAGGTTTTCCAGTAGCGGCCAATTTCCTCAGCTTATAACAAAACGTTTCATTTTAAAGAATTGACTGAATGAGCCAAATCAACTTGTTTCTTCATTTTTACAATTGTATCGCCATTTTTTTTGAAAACTGTTCGAGTGTTTAATACTGAAAAATCATCATCGTCACTTGTTCCCTATTCGGACGATGCGTTTTTTCTTTGCAAAACTTTTCTTCTTCGTGTGCCAGTAGTTGCATGGTAAAAGAGAATCACTGTGATTATTTAAATTTTCTTCTAATCTGTTTGGATATAGGTTTCTTTGAGTTAGTTTACACAATCTCACAAAATGTCGTTGTAGTTACACAGGTTACATACTACTTTTTCGACCAGAAACACATTTGATTAATTGTTGGCAAAGGCGTTACCACTTTTCAGAAAAACTTTGTTGTTTCTATGCTCAGGTTGGGCTCGTTTTTTACAGGATTGAACCTTTTGTACACCTTTTCATCGTTTTGATTGTGACCAGTTTCTGAGTCCAAAAATTTTTTTTTCCTTAATTTTGTCAAGATTATTCCTTGAACGATGGCGTCCGTCGGGTTGAGCGTTTCTGACACAAGTCTCTGTTGGGGTTAGCACTTTTTCGTGTTAAAATTAAAAACATCACGCTTACAGACTTGTTCGGATGCTTCTTCTTTTTCGCCACTTCTAGCCAAAATAGAAAAAGTTTCCCGATACTGTTTGTGTTTTTTATTTCTGTTTGCAACTTAGCAATTTGTAACGCTCCAAAGTCACCTTTGATGACTTTTAAATGCGGTTTCTTTGAGATAGAAAACGTTTTTAAAATTACTGGCAATGTCTTCATCCGAGATGATTTTGTTAAAAATTCGTTTTTCTCTGCGCACAAGGCCAAGTAATGTAAAACGCTTACTTTTTTGTCCGCTTCGCATCCTCTTTTGCCAGCAAAATTTCTTCTCTTTTCTGAAATTCTTCATTACGAGGCCCAACTGTGCACTGGATAGGCGCACAATTTTGTATCTGTATGTTCCTGGATTCCATAGATAAACTTTAAACATGCTCCAAAATGTCAGCTGATTCCCTTTACAAAACTTCCGTGAATTCCGCTTAGAAATACCTTCAACCCAAACTTTATCGGCACATTTGTTGTGCCGCGGATTCCGCAACCAGCGAATATAGCTAATTGTTCTGGATTCCGCAGCTGTTAGTGGATTCCACAAATGTAAATTGAATCCGCAAATGTAAGTGGAATCCGCAATTTATAAACGGAATCCGCAAATTTAAGTGGATTCCGCAAACTGTAAGTGAATTCAGAACTTTGTTTATTTCTGAACTTGATTTGAACAATTAAAAGCTAGAGCTGTATTTCTTATCTATAGCAATGCGGAATTTAAAGGCAAGTAATCGAAGTAGGCCAATTTTTTAGATGGGTAGGTCAGTATTTGGGATCGAAGTTCACTAGATCAGTATTTGAGATCGAAGTTTAAATCGAAGTTGACAGTATTTGAGATCGAAGTTTGGTTGACAGGAATTGAGACCAAATTTGGGATCGAAGTTGAGATCGAAGTTGACAGTATTTGAGATCGAAGTTTGGCTGACAGGAATTGACTGGAATTGAGACCGCTATACTACACGTATACATAAATGTAAACGGAATCCGCAAACAAAATGCGAATTCCACTTACAATTTGCGGATTCCATGTACAATTTGCGGATTCTGCTTACAGTTGCCGATTCCGCAACAGCTCAACTCAACTATACAAATGTCTTATTATTTGTTTGTGGATTCCACAAAATGTTCTGGATTCCGCAAGTACGGTTGCGGATTCCCAAAAACCGCCTATTTTCGGAGCAATTTTGAGCGGTACAATGTTTTAAATTTGTTTGTGGAATCCAAAACGGCGAAGAAGATCAAAGAAAACTAGCAAAGTTGCGTCGAATCTGATTTTGGCCTGTTGCGGAGTCCGAATACAATGCACAGAATGCACAGTTTGGCCTCGTAATGTTTCTTCTTCTGTGACTTCATATGTTCGCATAAGGTTTTCTTTTCTGGCATCTTTTGCTCGCCATGTTTTTTTTGCTGAATCTAGAGGTTCTTCAAGTAATAGAATTTTTGTTTCCGCCACCAATGGTTCCTTCAAAAAGTAATTGTCGGAATTTTTTTTCGCTCTAACTGCTTAAAAAATTGGTCAATTGGGCAGACGGTATTAAGTTATGATTTGGCCAAAAAGCAAGGGTTCCCAGCTGACTGCGCCATAATAGAGAGTGTAGTGATATCAACGGTATACTAAATGACTAACTCGAGTTTAGAGATTAAATTAGAAAAAAAATGAATTAAGACTGTATCTTTTTTATTCAACTAGAAAAATGCCACAATATCCAATAGACCTCAAACAGACACACAACTGGCTGGAATTTAAAAAAGAGGAAAAAGTCAAATTAAACTAATCGAAAAAGCATTTAATAACAGTTGTTCATTGTTAACTAGTAAATTACATTGTTGGCGTTTTTGCTGGATTATCGTGCACGTGGCAGGGGCTGTTAAAAAGTCGTTAGATTATAGTTTTCTCAAAAAATGATGGTCACGAAATTTTTAAAGCTAATCTTCTTTTCGCGTCTGGCAGGTCATAGCTGATGGTTTTGGTCAGTTTAGTACATCGTTTTTTTTACTGTTTGACCAATAGTCGAAAGTAGAAATTTTGTATGAAATACTGCCTATGAACTTTACCTGAAAACACAAATTAAAATTTCTGTTTCAAAAATTTTGTCTCTTAAATAATAATAGGATTCATTCAAAGAAAATGTCTGTAACTGGTCTGCAGTCTTTTATCAATACGAGCAAGAAATTATTTAACAAATGATCGACTAAGCCATGCAATACTGCCACTTTTGACTGCAATAATTTTGATTTGAAGTTTTAGGCGACCAAGGTCATGCCTTCTAGCCTATTTTGCCTCCTCAATTGTCAAATTTTCTAATTTTTTAAAATACAATGAACCGGACGCTCGAATCATAAAATGAAGCCAATCCTCTGAGTGAAAACTGAAAGGAAGTTAAATAGGAAATATAGAAGCGCAGATACAAAGTGAAACTGCTAATACCGTTCTTCTAATTGCGGACCTTTCGAGTCCGGATGACCTATTTGAACATCTAGGGCAAATTAGTTGTCGTGAATTAGATA